AACCCCCATAACTTTTTATGGGGGTGAGACCGCTGCAAATTTTTTATGGGGTTTTACTCAGGTGACCACCCTCTTTCGATCCCCCCTAACCTACCCCCATCTAACCCCCATAACTTTTTATGGGGGTGAGACCGCCACGAACTTTTTATGGTACAGTGGTGGGGGAGACCTCCTCTTTCGATCCCACCCACCCATCATCTAGACATTTGCCATATTTTCATATTATACTCTTTTGTCAATACCGCATCCATTTTATTTAAAGCTATCTCTAACTCCTCCTTGTTAGATGCTAATACTGCTATATCATCTGCAAATCTAAGCATACTAATCTTTCGCCCCTGTATATCTATACCTACAGTAGTACTGTCTTTACTGATATTGATCGAGTTTTCGATGTATACATTAAAAAGTAATTAAATGTAACAACTAAAATTTTAAAAGAAAGTAAGATGGAATTTTATAATAAAATCGAGAGAAAGACGTTCATTGCAGGTATTAAGGAATTCTACCATTCAGATTTAAAATATTCATCATCTAGAGATCTAGACGCTTGTATAGTTAACTGTCGCAACTATGACGACCAAGAACAACAAACTTTATACGAAATAGGGAAATTAAACCGTAAAATCCATAAGTTAATATACAGAAAAAAACCTATATTCCTTAGCCACTATCAACAAAATTATCATCAACCGCAATTTCCTTTGCACGGACAACCTCACTAAAAGTTTCCCGACTGGACCCATACAGTTGTCCAAGCCATACTTGTGAAGTAGTTAGGATTTGAATTTCTTGTGCTAGTTATCAGTGTACCCAACGTATCTCATTAAATTTGTTAAGTGAAAATTTTTTAAAACCAAGTTCATTCGAACCGAAAACTTAACTACTTATACATCAATCGTAAGTAAGAAATAACAACTTTCTTCTTAAATATTTGGACGCGTGTAAAATCCATTTCGGTTGGTGACAAATGAGAAACTGTCGCTTTGGTCTATCAGATTGAAATGACGCGGTGTGTCCCGATAACTTTTGCAGCAAGTGTGCACCGGGCCTTAAGTTGGAAGAACCATTAGCAATAAAAATAACGTTTCATTAATATCAAAAAGAGACACGATTTTTTCATTTAGCTTTTACATTTTATTTCAAATTTGTTTCGGACTCTGCCGGTCTGTCCGTTCCGCTTTAGCTTTTATTTTTTTAGGGGAAGTTGGAGAGCCGCAACTGTCTTGTGAAAGAGCCGCTTACAATTCATGTGCATCGGTTTGCTGATCCCTGGGTTAAGCAAAACGTTCTCCAACCGTAAAAATTATAGATTTCTT